CGGGGACGGGAGCGGGGACGGGAGCGGGGACGGGAGCGGGGACGGGAGCGGGGACGGGAGCGGGGACGAGGCCAGAAACGGCGAAAATTGGGACTGAAGTGAAGCTGTAACGGGGACAGGGACCGGGGATGGATGGAGAGTTGTGGGGACTGGGAGGGGGACTGGGTTGGGGACTTCGACGGGGTGTGCGATGGGGACTGGGGCGCCGATTGCGAGAGATTCGGGGACTGGGTCTGTGGTGGCGGCGGTGTTGGCGCGGGTGAGAAGGGCCGGCTGCAGCGTCACCCCGCGTGCGCCAGTGCGTATGACGACGCCTTCTGACTCATTACGCACACGCGGGCCGCGTGTTTGCCGAGGGCTCACGCTCTGCGGGTGATAGGCTCACGCGGCCGCGTGCAAATGGGACGATCGCGCGCGCGCTGCTGCCCACAACCGCGCTGGGCGGGCGGGGCACTATGCGCTCAGCCGAGATGCAAGTGGCTCTGGTGCAGGGAAGGGAGAAAGCATACGCCGCAGCAGAGTGGGCTTTAGGGAAACAGATTTTGCGTAAGTGGAAAGAAAGGGGGCAATCAATCGGTGATAATTTAAAAGTGGAGTAGAATGTGTGAATTATACTGATTTCATATTATCAAGGTTTTGGAGTAAACTGGAATGTAAAGCTTCTGATACGCATACCTACCTTTTAAATCTGGATATTTCAATAGGTATATGTTCCCCTTTCATTTTTAGTTACCTGAATTACATGTTATAAGATAATAAAAATAAAGTAATGCATCTTTTGTTTTTTGTGTTTAATAAAATGTAACGTTTAAAGACAAAGTATGCAAGACAATACTGGCAAATTAAAATTTTCCATAAATAAGCACATGCTCTCTCCTAAGAGAGTTATAGGATTCGTGCCTGGAAATAAAAAGTTATATAGCGTTAGCTTCAAAAATCACTTTTACATTTATTAGGGACATGACACATATTTTCGGACTTTTTAATAACTTATAGTTTGTAGTGGTTTGTGATAACCTTGTTTGCAATCCGGTTACGAAAATCAGCCAGTCTTGATATTGTGCAAGTGTTCGAAAGTTTTGCAACCATTTAATATTTTAGTTTCAAATGTATCATTGACTTTTATAACGAGAGGTGAGGAGTACACTCGAAATCATTTGAATAATTTTTGTGATTTATTCCATTTTACAGATAATTTAACGGTTAAAGGTCACATTTATCTCAATTTTATTAAATGTTTGTTAATTTGATTCTCTTTCTTCAGTAGCTAGAAACTTCATGTAAGTACTACTGGAGTAAGTGTTGACCTTCTGCTGAAGTTCTAATATTTCTATCTTATATACTGATCCTGGCTGTACGGCTTGGATATCTACGAAATTCGTAGTCGCTCATTAGCTGATCGCATTGTATGTATGCTTCCAACGTATACCATTACTACCCTGATGCAGCACGTTTTCGGTTAGTAGGGATGGGGAACTGGGTATGAACGTTATCCGATTATGGTCGAGGACGATAGTTTGTGCGACGATGTGGTTCCGACCTTGGTCGGATAATTGAATTTTGCCTCCTGAGTTTTAATAATGCAAGGTTATGTATTTAAGCAAAACTGAATAATTGCATTGAGGAAATGTTGGAATATTGAATTTCTGTATTTTATATTTTTTCTAATGAGAATAATTATCATATTTTATTACAGGCGATTCACTTAATAGCAGATAATAAAATTAATTTAAAGTGCTTTACTGATAAGTTTTATGAAGTATAACACTTAATTTTGAGTATGTAATTGTAATTTCATTCCCTCACTATATACACTCGCCAGAATATTTCTTCTAATTATAAAATATCAAATACATTATCCGTTTTTTTATTGTTTTGTCATATTTAAAAATTCAGTCAGAGAATAATTTATACGATTTCATATCAATGAATACATTTTATGTACTTGGAACACCTCATTATTATACGTTATCTACCAATGTAAATCATTCAATTTACTAAACTCTTCATTGATTTCATAACTGAGCAATTTGTATTCTGATTTACATTTTCCTTCATTCTTTGTTTCAGCGAGCCAGAAGGTGCCCGACATCATTCGAAAACCAAAAAATTCTTCCCAAATGGTAAGTCATTTAAATATGGTACTTTGTAAAAATGTTTTGTACAAAATAACTTCATAAAACGCCAATTGTTCCTCGTTTGCAAAATTCTTAATTATTTCGTGGTCACAATCTCGTCCTTCAAGGGAAATGATATACGAATATTTCTTTCCCTCTTTCTCTTCTACATGGTATTTTGCAAATATTCAAAAATGATTTTTTCATTTCTGCGCTAGAAAATGGTTTTAATTGCACTACTTGATTGTTTATTCTTATGTTTCTTTCTTTATAATTAATCAACAAGTTCTGTGGCATTCGATAGAACTGTTCGTTTCTTCTTCAAATCGCGACATGCACATTTTGTGCACCCACAGGGCCTCTTTTAGCATATACAGGGAAAGTTCATTTACTAGGTCGTTCCTGTTTTAATTAATTATTTCTGCTCTCTCGTGAACGCATGTCATATTAATGACCTCGCGCGGCAATGCGATACAATATTTTTTATTAACAATTGGACCTCGTAAGCATTGTTTTTTAACAGCACCATTCCAGTACTTTCAATCGTGTTTAGTAAATGTCACACAGAATTTTGACGTGGAACAGTACTTTGGTAAATGGTAATTATCTAACGTGACAGCGGATGTGCGGATATTTCATTTGCACGTGAACAAAAACTGCGTTGGTCGTGAGCGCAATTTGATGAGTTTTGTTTTACAATAGCCCAAATGCCGAATGTTGCATGCCGGCAACATCGCTTTGTAGATGATCGTGTGTAATGTTCTTGACCGAAAATATTTTGTGGAGGAATTGAGTTGGGAAAGGACTCATAAACTCTAGAAAGTATATGAAGATCTTTTATAACTAATTTATTTATTACCGCATCAACAAGGTCATTAGCAAATCACAAATAGTTGAAACATTTTTACAAAACGATACAATAGAACGCAATTCGTTGAAAATTCAGTCTGTTTTGCATAAATTTTATTCGCTAATTTTGATTCCATTCGATATAGTATTTATTCGATTATTTAATTCTTCTTTCTATTTGACTTGCCTGTAATTGTCTCTTTGCTGTGTTTGACTTTTCCTTGTGATTTATTTATACATTTTATGATGTACTATGAAAATTCTTGATACAAATAATACGGAAAAATGCCGTTTACATTTCATTAAAAATTATAATATGCTTCTAAATCACTTCATTTTTGTAAAAATAATGGGTCTGTGAACGTAACTATTTCTTCTCCCTTTTATTTTTTAATTGATTTATTAATTAGAGGAAATGGTTTTTCTTTTTCTGACATTAAATATACAATAAATGTTAATTTTGATCCATGCATGTTTTGAATAAAGCAATTTCACCGATGTGAAAATATTTGCTCCAGTACCTCCTAGTTGCCTGCAGTATAGTGCATGAAAATTAAATTGCTCTGGGTAATAAAAAGTTCACCCGTTTTTCCTCCTTAACTTAAAGCCATAGAGTATGCTTATAGTAGTAATTCCTACATTACACAAGAATGGAATTTTCATCTCTTCAAATTACTGTTAACTCTTTAGATATTATGCTATAACCTTAAGGAGGTTATTGGATAGGAACATTTACATTTTCGTGAATGAACTCGAAATACAGAATGTAATATTTTTCAGTAAATATTTTAGCGTTGCCTCCTTCCTACTCATACCAAACATACACAACACTCACATTTTCTCTTTGTTACCTCATCTTATTCCTTTCAGAAAGGAAGAAAAGACAGAATAGTGTAATCTATCAGAAATTAAGGTTTTTTTGTTACAGCATTCGTGAAAGAAAGATCAATTTTCAAACGATCTTGAAGTTGTTTCTTACATAAAAAATCATTTATACTTTTCGTATGTCACTGTTTTAATATTTATGCCACACATTAATAGTTGCATCAATAATTAGAAAATATGTGTATCTAACAATAGCCATGTCAACAATGAAGCGATCTACACAGTTTCTTAATCAGTGTGAAAGAGACAGCCACGCTGTAAGCACTGAAAGAGAGTATTTGGACGCTAATAGTTTAACGTACATTTTATAGCATTATCGTCTATTATATAAAAATATTTTTTAAACGAATGTAGGATTTTTGATAATACTGCATTTTTTACATTTAACCATCAAAACAAACAAAAAATAACCGTTTAAATGGGATTTCTCAAATCTACCTCAACCGCTTTTTCCCACTTTTCACGGCAGAGTTTAAATGCAATTCGTTTACGTAAGTTCAACGAAACCAACAGGAAATCTACCACAACATAATGTTCAAAACCTTTCTCGTAAATGCATTTTAATTCATTCCGATTGAGCTGCAAGGTTCCAAGGCAAACCTTGAACGTTAGTTTCGTCGAAGAGAAGCACGGGGGTGGGCGTGCGGGGCGGAGCAGGTTGAACGGAGCGTGGCGGGGAGAGCGTGCGGGCAGGCGGG